AACCTCTAGCATCTCTGCTAAGCTCCACCAGTCAAGAATTTGAACATTAACTTTCTGAAGTCTGTAATTTAAAAAAAAAAAAAAAATTTTTTCAAATATAAAGTAGTATTAGAATGTTTTATCAAATGCCCCAGATCAAACGCCTTAACTACCTTAATAGAGATGAACTATGACATTTGAGGAGTCCTGGTATGGTGCTATAGCTCAGCACTGGACTGCCAACCTCAAGGTCAGCAGTTCAAATCCACCAGCTGCTCCTCGGAAAGCCTGTAAGGGTCGCTATGAGTCGGAACTGACTCACTGGCACTTAACACCAGCAACAGGGCATTGAAGGAAGACAGAGAAGGGTGGGGAGTAAGGGGAGAGTCTCCTAGGACAAGCGTAGGACAATGCTTTAGAGACAGGAAAATATGCTCTCATGCAAAAAGAAAAGTTTCAGCATTCACAGTATATTTAAAATACAACTTTAAAAAATAATCAAAATAAACTTTATAAATGTTGCTAGTGACTGTCCAGTCAACTGACTCACAGCGACTTTCCATACAACAGAGGAAAACTCAGCCGGGTGGTGGTGCAGTGTTTCCGTATTAGGTGCCTGGTGGAGGTTTACACGGGATCCCATACTCCCTCAGGAACTCTACATACAGGAGGAGCAAGTCTCCTGGAGGGAACTGTAAGTCATGTCCCCCAGGACCCCAGGTCATCTCATCCTAGTACAGGAAGGTGATGAAATGGGCATGCGAGGCAAGAAATGTTGTTTGAGAGGCAAAAAAAAAGTCCCCGAAATATCAACTTCAGCTTTTTCAAGAAATACACTTCACTCAGCACAGGTTTCTGCTGAGTGGGGCAGGTTTGGTTATACATGTTTGAATAAAGAATCTTTAAAAAAAAAAGGAAATTGGGTTCCCAAAATGGAGAAATTCACTTTTTGCAAGGACAATGAGAGTTCAGGAAAGGCAGGTGAGGGGAAGGTATAGAAGGAGCAGGAACAACAGCCAGAAATGAAGTATTACAAGTAGAGTATCAGAAGTATCAGAAACCCACCTCAGTAGGAAAAACAGGCAGTCATCAAAACTGCAATCCCACCTTGGCTATGTGTTACCAATGCTTCAAACTGCAAAAGCAGAAAATCCATAACAGTGTCTTTCTCATGTAAGTCAGGCACATGCTGGCCTTACTTCATGGCTGTGTGACTGGAAGCTGGTTTCCTTAGTCACAAGATGGCCGCTGCAAGCCCACCCCGAACTGGAAGACAGCCAGGGAGAGAGGATGGAAGTGGAGGTGGGGCCAGGTGACAAACCGTCTGTCACACCAACAGGAAACCTGTGGGCAACCTGGGTTTTTATGAAAGGGGAGATACTGACAAAAGGGGTGGGTGCTGAGTTCTTTAAAATGGCAACTTACTTAGCCTCACAGACCAGTGTGAAGGCTAATGGGTCTGAGGAAACGAATTGAACAGTACTGAGGAGACATGAATTTCAACTGCTGCAATATACAATCAAGTTCAAAAGGCACATTTATTTTACATTCTACCATTATTGAAATGGAACACACAAACACTGACCTCCTAAGCATTAGTGAGCTGAAATGGGCTGGTATTGACCATTATGAATCTGACAATCACATGATTTACTAGGCCAGGAATGACAAATTGAAAAGGAACAGCACTGCACCCAGCATTAAAAGAACACCTTGAGATCTACCTTGAAGTCCAATGTCTGTGGTAGGATAATACACATACACTTATAAGGAAGACCAGTTAATACAATTATTCAAACTTACCCACCAACCACTATAGCCAGTGATGATGAAATTGATGAATTCAACCAACTTCTCAGTTTGAAATTGATCAGACATGCAATCAAGATGTATTGATAATTGCAAGTGATTGGAATGCAAAGGTTGGAAACAAAGAGGAAGGATCAGTAGTTAGAAAATATGGCTTTGGTAACAGAAACCATGCTCGAGATCACATAATAGAATTTTGAAAGATCAATGACTTCATTGCAAATACCTTTTATAAACAACATAAAAGACTAGTATACACATGGACGTCACCATGTGGAGTACACAGAAATCAAATTGACTACATCTGTGGAAAAAGCCGGTGGAAAAGCTCCAAATCATCAGCCAAAG